CAAGTTTCTGCTGCTGTAGATGTGTGGAGCGTGTATCACGCTTCGTAATCATCCATATGAATGTTTCAAACATATCAAACTGTTACAACGAAAACGTGGACTGATGTCATTGAGCGGAGTTTGTTATGGAATCCTGGTTGTTGTCCTTCTGGTTGAAGTTTCAACGACAACAGCGAGGTAACATTTGAGTCTAGAGCACTCACAATCTCATCTCGCGAAACGAAGACAGCATCAATGGAGAGAGAGAGAGAGAGAGAGAGAGAGAGAGTCCACATTGTATTGGAGCAGCTGCCTTGACTTTAAAGGGTGGACGACACTCGAGCTACAAACAATTAAATAAACATTCATGTGAATCACAAGCTCATCTTTAACGGCCAGCTCGATGAGCTGGATGGTTGTTCCTCAAAATGGGCGTTGAGAAAACCGCAGATCTGAGCACTTTGAGCAATAACTGCAGGTCTCCATGCGAGAAACGCTCGATCGAGCTCCACTCTTGATCTCGGAAAATGACAACCATTCAGAGAGAGTGAGCACTCGCTGTTCGTGCTGGTAAGGGCGTTCGGACCTTCACCAGACCTTGAGTCCCCTGCTAAGACCTCCTGATAAAATCAGTCTCATGAAGTTGCATGTGAATTATATAATGATTTTTTACTCATGGATTCATGCAAAAGAAAATCCCAACCAACCATGCTCCAAGACTCGCCTCAAACGGTAGGATAGAACAGGCTGTGTTCACACTACCATCGGAGCAGGAAATCGTTACAGGGAGATCGAATCCACATGACCACAAATGCGGAGAAGTTAGGAAGAAATGTTGTACGAAGGATCATTACTGGGCTCTTACTGGGCGAGAATTCCGTATTCTAAATTTCAGACTGGTTTGCCATCAATGTACAGCAGACATGAAACACACCATCACGAAACAGGCAAATGTCAAACGAATTCAACTACAGTGAACATGAATTGGTCTACATGAGAGTCTAGGCGGCGCAGTGATCAGAAGAGGTTGAGGCGGTGTGGGTCATGATGATCACAGACAGCTTTGGATTTTTTCCATAAAACCTCCAGACGCAATCTGCAATGGCTTTTTTACAAATGCTTTTCAGTAGGAAGGTATTTAATAGTTGGGAATTGACGTCCGGACAGGCATCGGTTTCTCTTTCTTGGCTTTGACCTTGATTCCGTAACCTCAGGGCTTTTTCTTCTCTTCCTCATTCGATAAGATCCGCACATACGAAGCTTGGAGGTGGGCTCACGTTCAGAACTGTCCCTTTCTCATCTCCCAGGGAAAGGAAGGGGTCCGTGAAGACATCGGGTTCAAACATCGAACTCATTAGCTGACCAGACTTCCCATGCTCCGCCAGTTAAGTATGCAAATTGTTAATTTATCAGCTTGCTGTACGATTGGAGTGCTCGTTACAGTTGCAGGACATTTTTTCAGACAGGTACAACTCATGCTCAGAACAAAAGGGAATGTAAGAAACATGAAGATCGGGATGTATTTGAAGCTGAGTCCTGAGGCTGATTTTGAAAAGTCAAAGAACGAGACAGTAGATAAGATCGACAGGCATGAAAGTATCAAAGGAGGCATAAAAAAACGATCAACAAGTACAAGCTTGAGACTTTAATCGGATTACTGAACGATGACGGTGAGAATATAAGACAAACTGTTCGGCAGCATCGTTATGTAGACCGACCATCGAGCTTTGACAGCAAGTATACACGTGAACCATCAGATTTTGTCCAGGACCGATCCTTTAAATGATCAAACTTCAGATCTATTCTACAAAATTGCAGTATGTGACTAAGAAATTCATTCTCCAGCCTATAGTATGAAAATTCCACGCATATTGGTTGAGAGATAGTCCAAACGCAAAAAAAAGGCCCTTGAGAGAAGATATTTTTCGGTGTTTCAGGCGATTGCCAAAATATTAATGTGATAGCAAGGCACAAGGATATGAAATATGTTGTCACTGACAGCTGTGTCTGTTTAATTCAATTTCTTTCCTTTCTTCGCTTTTTAATAATCTTGCTGAAAGGAGGTGTGATATTGCACGAAACTTGATGTCGACCGGGTTAACCTTTCTTTTGGGAAAAAAGTATCTACCAAACCAATTGTCGTTTACGTAACTATTTCTACTGACAATATATAAGCATTATAATTGTACTTAGATGTTACCAATTCCTCAGGAGTTATCCTCGGTTCGCTGGATTCCAATCCCTCTTTACGGGCGGGAGAGAGTTTCACGACATCATAATCTAGTAGAAGCACACAATTTTATATCATCTTACAAAAGAAAAAAAGTCAAACCTTTTGGACCGCTGGCTTTCATCCATTTTGCAACTTTTGTGTAGTCTCCTGCTCAAACAAGGCACACCATGTACTCCCTATGATTTTTCAAAATTGCTGAAATCAGAAAACAGTGGCTTTGTGCGAATGAACAAGGATCATACCTTTCTCTTCAAAATATTTCAATATATCTTTGGGTTTGACATGTCATTGTAGAGGTCATCGATTCCGGTGTGTAATTTCAAACAGACCTCTGGATCTGGCGCTTGTGTCGTGACTTACGCTGATCTGTCTCACATATGTAAGTCATGTTTGTACAGAGAAAAGTCACCAGGTATCAATCTAGAAGTTCTCCTGAGCATGCATAAATTATATGAATAACTTACAGGAGAATGTGTTGCAGCTTGAAACGTTGCACAAGTATAATACATCAATGCCAGCTGATAAGAACGTCATTCCTTAGAACCTGTTAAAATGTCAACGTTTGAAAGAAGTTGCAGCATTCCTGCAGTGAGAATGAAGAGTTGACGAAATCTGGTCGACCGTCTAAGTATTGAACTTGTATTGTTCACTTATTTTTTGGGGTGCTAACTCTAGGTAACAATATTCACTGAAATCCTGTTGACTAGTGCTTCACTGATAAGATGGCGGTTTCCATTAAATTCAGATCTCGTGCAATTCAATGATCGTGGCTCTCTTATACATGCATGCAAATTTGGCCGCGAATCTATGTTCTTCATTCTCGGGCAAAGGATACCCATGGAATGAATAGCTCGACGATAACCATCGAAATGAGTGAAAAGCAACGTCCCAACCCAGGGCCAAACGAGAAGGAGAGAGTTAATCCCTCTCCCGATGAATGACTTTTCTCCCCCTGCGCGTCTAATGGAAACAGTATGTGGTTTCTGGAGTTCCATCATATGTTCCTTCTTTTCAGGTCAGTTGAGGAATAGGTATAGGCGATTTTTGGCTTTTAGTATGTTGAGAATTTGTATAGACATGAAAAAATTTCGCTACAAGACAGCATCAGCAGAGAAGTGATATTCTATTGCGGATGCTGCTGTTGTCTTGTGTGACACAAAGATTTAAAGCCGTCGATAGTACACTCTATCCCCTCGGTCCTTCAAAAAAAATTTTTCCTACGACAATATTAAACTCCTGCCGAGCCCCGCCGATCGATATCCTTTTGTATGAGCATGATAGACCATTCTTGGCTAGAGTCAGCTCCTATCGAGCAGACTGTTGAAATCGATTATTCGCAATCGATCTAGAGAAAATTCCCGTCAGCCGTTGCGTTGAACAATTGGCAGCTGAGGTAGAGGTTGGCAGTTTCTCACTGTTTCCATGCAAATGCATTTCATTCTCATATTAAGAGAAAAATTGAATCCAGAATCCGCTCAAAGAAAGAAGTTTCCTCTTTGAGACCAATCTGCAGGGACGTAAGAAACCTCCGAGAAATGTTTCCCCTTACAGGTATTGGTCTCCTGCGAACAGGAGTCTTCCAAGATAAGCCCTGAGAATGTAATGTGATTTTGTAACGTCTCATGATTTGCAAGATCTGTGGAGAGGGGGCTGTCAGACGACAACTCGGACTTGCCGGCCAGATGACCATCGGATGCGAGAAGTAAAGCCTTGAAGACACAAGAAACCCTCGAATCGGCACGACGCAGGAAACGCTGTACGAGGCTACGAAGACGATAAGATGCTGCCTCGCGTTCCGTGACTCGGATGATCCGAAAAGGGTGCAAGGCACTGGAGAAGCAGGATGGTGATAAACTCGTCACACGACGAGCATTTACTTTCTTTAGTCGATGAATGTGGAGAAATCTCGAGCTGCGGCTCATGTCAAATACGGCCTCAGAATTCGCAACGGCGCCTGTTGCAATCATCGAGCTCCACAGTGCCTCCCGTTGCGGCCAACGACTGCTCCGTCTGTCGGAGACTATACGCTGCAACAGCCCCATCAGCATCGACCACGCCGACATCAGCATCGCCATGAGACCCACAGGGCCGTTGTCGACGGTCGTCGGGGCGTCGGCACGCGATTCCAACTAACCGTGACGGGGCGCTGATGCCATCCCCACCCCCCCGTCCCGGGCGTCTCGCATGTCGGCCTCGATGTCCATCCATCTCAGCGCGCTCTGGATTCCTCCGAATTCGTTCGCTTTGCAACCGGAGCTGAGCTGAGTCATCAGCGCGGCTGCCGTTAGAGTCTTTCTGCGTTCGAAAACTCCACCGCCCGTTGCTGTTCGAATTCCAGGCTCCCGCACTGAGTTGGATTCCATTCGCATTTGACCGCGGGAATCGAACGAGGCGAGCGTTAGTCTGTTCGAGCTGTGAACTTCCTCCGAACCGCGGGGAGATGCAAGGGCAGCCGTTGCGTTCGAGCTTCAAACCGCGGCCAGGTGGACTCTCCAAGTTCGAATGAGCGGGCATCGGTGGAGAGATCAGCACGCGAGAGGAGCAAACGGGGAGTCAGTCCATGCCCCGCTGAGGCTGAGGAGGAGCAGGAGGAGGAGGATCCCGCAATTTAGTTGATCTTGAAATTTGAATGCTCAGGCTGCGAGTACCGGTCTGAATCTTAAACTTTAAAAAGAAGCCGTCTTCACGCGTAGGGCTCCTGCGGATGGGAGGGGGGGACTGCTGCATATTTATCGAATCCCTCAGCCACTATTACGGGGCGTGGGGCAGGATCGGACGTTGGGGGTGAGAAGGAGGGTGCCAGGAGTGCCATATCGCTCCCAATCCCAATCCCAAATTCAGGCCTCGAGGACCCCAGCGATGGGGTGCAGGGGGGAAAGGGAGCTTTGCAAGAAAATAATGAAGGGCCCTGCTGGTGGAAATCCTAGTCCTTAATAGCTCCTTCAAACTCATCAGTCAAAATCACAACCTGAGGGCCGGAATTTCCTCGCGCTCAGGAGGTCGAGAAAAGACAAGCCCACGTCAAAGTGAAGCCCCCAACTCCACCTCCTAGAACCGATCACATCGCTTTCTCGAGAGAGATGAACAAATCTCTAGCAGCGGCAGATCGAGAGACGAGGAAACGGTGGGGAAGATTTTGGTTCAGACTTCAAAAGTGCCCCTTGCTGTGTACCTTCCGGTGTCCACCTGGCCTGCGCTCATCGATCAGGGGGACCGCGATGATGGTGGGCTGCAAAGGTCTGGGAATCGGGGAGGAGGAAGAAGAGGAAGACCGGCCGGAGGCATGATCGCACATGTTCACGGTGCTAGTGGAGAAGACGCGAATGTCAACTTGAAGACCTCGGGTCAAATTTTGTTCTTCACTCGTCGTGTGTCGAGTTCATTTGACAGTGAATGAGCACTTCAATTTGGCGCCGTCAGCGTCGGAATCACGGGGTCCGGGTCCGGGTCCGGGTCCTGGGCTGTGAAGCTGACAGGAGTTCAGGGAGAGGTAGAGGTAGAGGGAGAGGGAAGGGAAGAACGAGCTTCGGAAAGAGCAGAAAGTGACCTGCTTGCGGAAGCTTGTGGGTCCAGGCCGAGAGATCGCAGTCCGAACCCTCGATTAGTCTGAAAGTTGTGGGGTGACGACAGAGAGTATATAGTCGGGCCCTCCAGGATCCGCAGCGAGAGATCTGTACCGAAGAAGTCAGATCGGCTAGCGTAGTGACGCATTATGCAAGCAAAGCGCGTTGCTGTGATATCTGCAGCAGCGGCAGCGGCAGGAGCTAGCTACGCCGACGGTTTGCTTGCTAAAATGCTCTCAGTGCTGTTCACTGCTCCAGCAGCAGCGGCAGGAGCTAGAGTATATTGCCACCTCCAGCCGCGGCCGGATGGTTCCTTTCTTTCAGCGCAGTTCTAGGAGTGGAACTGCTACGCGCATTCTTCAATGGATGGGAAGCAAGACCGGCAGTGTTCATGGTTATGCGATATCTTTTGTTTTTCGCCGGGGAGTCGCGACATGAGGTGGGGCGACAGAGGAATTATTAGACTCGGAAGGAGCTGCCGAGCTTCGTCCGTCATCAGTCGTCTACCTTGCCCATGTGGCCCATGGAGCCCATATTCTCTGGAAATTCGTCCAGATTCGACAAAACATGCCAACAGTAGCCACGCTCAGCCCATGGATAATCCCCGATGATGATCAATTCGCACTCGGTGAGATCTATTCTGAGCCCAGGCACTCATGTGCACAGGCTCGGCCCAGCACGCCTGAGCCTGTAAAGAAATCATATAATCTGATGGCAACAGGGAGCCAGTCTTTCCATTTCCTTGACTTTTGTGGTGGGTCCATCGCGTGATGGCGATTGCCCTTCTGTGGCCAACCGCGGTGACATGTTCTCAGACCGGCGCGAGCATGACCACCGGAAAGGTCGAAGATGAGAAATGAAAGAGAGAATGTGCCCAAGGATACCATTTTATGCCAAGTGTCTGAACTGCACTCGCCACAGGACATTCTCTGTTGTATGCTTCCGATTCGCTAGCCTGTTAAATGGCACCGAAGATTATATAGCCAAATAGGATGGCGAGGTCCATCGAGCCGAACATGAATGAAGCCATCATCATCCATGCTCGCCTTGATGAAACTAAAGATGGGAAATATGTCCTGTTGGAGATACGACACACTTATTTAGTCTAGAAGGTTCTCAAGCACACCGGGATGCTGCCATTTCTTTGGGATTTGGTAAGCTAATTTTACGTACCATAATTTAAGCTGGTATTGAACATGGATAACAAATGTGATAACTTTCAACATACCTTAGACGGTGTATAGGATTACTTGTTTTCACTGAATTGTTTACGGTTTAATTGACAACTCATATATTTGTGACACATGGATATCGAAACTTAAGGGAACGCTTCACACCTGCCTAACACAAGGTAGACAACTAGCAGGAGTACAAGGCCTCTGTTCAAAAAGAGTATCGATATTCAATTAGATATCAATTATTCTCGAGTTTTCCCGCATGAAAGAGGAAACGGAAATTGTAAATCTGAAACAAATATTTTGTGTGTCAGATTGGTTCATCTAGATAAACTCAAGCTCATCAGAACACAAGATTATTCTAATGAAATACCCTATGAAAAACCCTACTTGTATCCTTAGTCTTTTTTCCATTTGCTTGCTTTCTACTTTGTTTCTATTTGCTTAACTCTTCAATGACGAGTCACTTTTGTGTCAAATAGGTCACTTATGAAACCAATACGGCAGAGACAGTTATACCGAGGGACCTCATTGGATCCGTCTCGAACCTCTAAACGTATGGCACATCAAGAGAGAAAGGAGACCAAGTTTGTTGCACGTATGGCAACCCGAAGAACTGGGAGCGTTGAATGTACACACCATCTAGAGAGAATGTACTGTAGTGACTGTACCGCATTCCAGAAGGTAGTCTGGAGTGAGCACGAAGTGTACAAACTTTCAGAATGTATCATGACATGCGCAAATCTAATGCCGCTATGTACTCCTCTAAATCATTGGACCGTGCAGAAAGTACACCTCTTTATATGCAATCCGATTATGCAGTCATCGTCGAAAAGCTGCACTTGCAATTACCGGTAACTGTGATCTAGTCATTGGGGTACACTTGCCGAAAATTAATTGGTGATGTGGAAATCAAGGTATATACTATCTTCGTGACACAGCCACATTTTCATAGTCACCGAACAAGGATATTAGCAAAAAGGATTCTAATATCTCCATCAATTCGACAATGGTTAGCCGATAATATAACAATAATGTAATCTAAAATTTACGCCTCAAATACTCTACATGATCTTCTAAAAGACACCACCTCGTTCAATGGAGCTTGTTAATATGTATTATTCACAAGTAGTGATCCTTGTAGACCAATGTATACACGACACCTAGATTAAACATGCAATATGCTGAAAAACTTGATACCCAAGAGCATAATAAGACGGACTTCCGAATTAAGGTCCAAAAAATAATGTAAATAATCGTAAGCTGGATGTACATGTAATAGGATTTCTAGTATTTTTTTAATAAAATACTATGAAATACATATTCTTCTTCTAATCCAAGAAATATTAAGCGTTAAAAAACCAGCATGAAAAACATTTTTTAGATCAATAGAGAATTATGGTAAAAAACTATATATATATATATATATATATTTGAAACATCTGTAAAATTAGAGAAAATTTACTGGAAACCCTATCCGTATGATATCATTGCTATTCCTGTATACAGTCATTCATAGTGTGTAACTCAGACACCAATTATACCAAAATAAATATCCAAGCATATTCACTCTCATCTTTTGAGATCGTTTTATTACTAACCTTTTGGTTTTCTGGTCCTCCTCTACCAACAAAAAATTGGGTAAATTTAGTATCCCTTCTTAAATATCTTTCGTTCAGTCATCACATCATAAACTCGTTGCACGTCATCATCTTCTAAACTAATTGGAGGTGGAGGTAGTTAATATGTAGATGCAGAATAGGTCTTCTTTAGATTCGGTTTAACACAAATGCGATCATCACACTTGAGTAATTTTAGTGATACCGATACATTTTGAGAACTTCTCAATCGGAGGTACACTCTTAAAAGATGTTCTTCCAAATGATCAGATGTACACCATGAAAATGAGATGTTGAGTATATTGGGAAGTTCTTTAGTGAAATTGTTTCCATGATGGCAGAAAATTTTAGATTACCTGATATCATTTTGTTTGACTAATGTATCAGAATGAAGAAGTACAAAATACAGATTCAATTATCACAGTCGTTTATATTTGAAGCAAAATAACGGAATCATCAAATCAATTTATTATCATCAAAACATACATTACATGGCGACATAAATATAATTTTAGGAAGTGTACATAACCGTGTAACCTTATAAAAATATAGCTATGCGAGTGTGAGATACGGATTTGTCGTACAGCCGTGTGCGGTGATCGATGAATTTATTTTAAAAACTTGTATATCTTATTCATACAACGGACGCAGATTCTAGTCAGCCTATATTCTGATACAAGCGTTTTGGAACATGGAATGAACCAAAATAACATGCTTAGAAGAAGCTTTGAATACTAGGAGATAGGTAATTTGTACTAATCGAAAAATAATGAGAGCACTTGCACTTCCATGAATGTATATTATGCACTTCATAAATCTCTGTCTGCAATTTGGCCAGAGCTCGATTTGTCCTTGCAGTCATCCAATTTTTGCACTCACGGAAGTCCAGACGGGTGGCCTTAGTAGTTGCCCAAAGTTGACAAATCGCTGAAGTCCAAATGCCAAGTTGGGGGTCTTGACAAGACCATCTCTCTGGAAGTTGCACCTGTTCACCGCTCATCAGTGTCACCGTCAACCTTTCGTATAGTCTCCTTTTCAAAGTATGTATGTTGGGCATGTCGTGCACGTATTACCCATTTTACTCAGCGTTGTGCATGAAAACAGTTGGATGTGATCGGACCAATCCAGTGGAAAGATGAGAGGATACGCCTCTGCAAGTTTTTTAAATTATATACGACATCCCTAAGGTATACCAAATGTTACAATTTTCAGCGCCACTTCTTTGTAAAATTTGCTTCTCTTATTTGACTTGATTGACTAACATTCAATCATCTCAAGGTCTACGCCTCAAGCGTTCCATCCTTCGCCTATCTCTCTTCCGAGATTTCCCACCGAATCCCAAGAAGCATATAGGCACTCCTAGGATGGGGCCAAACTGCAGAAACTGACGACTAAAGGTGGTCTGCTTTCTTTTTTCTCTACACAAACTGGGTCCCTTCAGTACAATGAAGCGGGCATGATGAAGTACATAAAGGAGATTATGCAAAAACGCTTTAAAGTTCACACATACCTGACGTTAGTTCGCCACTTCATGTTCACACCATGCCAGAAAGATGCTGGATCCGTGGCTGGAGGTGCTTCTGTTGGATTTTAGTCCCCTGTACCGTCGATCCTGATAACTCCTCATATGCCCAACAGGATCCCGTCGAGAACTGAAGGCGGACTTCTGATGAACTGAAATGCAATCTGCTTTTGCTTTCGAGAACTGTGGCAGCCTTTCTTGCTTAAACCCACCGACGAGTGCAAAAAACTGAAGAGGTCCTTGTCATATGTGCGCTGGGGCTTCTGCCCCTGCAAGATTGAACGGGGCACAACAGGACTTTCAGACTCCGAAAGGCCCATGGATGGGATGGGCGACTGCCAGCGTTCGATCGATCAACTCAACTGACCGCCTGCAGTAAACCCCACAGAGCATTTACCACAAACGACGCTGGACGGAAGGAATGTGGAACAACGAAGAGGAAAAGCAGCATGCCTGGAGATGCATTGGCCCAATGGGGATAAGGCTATGCATGGGCATGGATATGCCACTGAATATACTGTTTGCGACGACGACAAAGAGCCGGGACACCTGCGAGCATCAAACCGAGAAGGATCGGCTCGACTCGGTTTCTTTAACCTACTTCGCGCTTTCGAAATGCCCAATAGTACGTCATCATTACGAATATTTCCCTCGAAATATTGTGGCATGCTTGAGACCGAGGGCGCTCGTGAATTCTCTCGATCCCACAGCGATTTGTGGCGTCGCTAGCCACGGGACATGTCCAATGCCCGATCAGCCTTTGAGAAAGCGACCTTCAGTACGACCCGTCCCTGGGAAAGAATGCTGAACGTCATTCGAGGTGCACAAGCTCGCGTAAGAAAACGTGCTCGTACGACGGGTATATACCGGCACTCGAGTACCGGCTGGTACGGTGGCGTCAGTCCGGATAGAGCCTGGCCATCGAGTTCGCGCAAAAGGGTGCGGACTTTGCTCGCTGCAAGAAAGCCATTAATTTATTTATTCTTGTGAATTTCGTCCAGGAGCCCGCAGTTTCTCTCGCTCGCTGCTTCCACTGAACTTTTCGTGGATCCTCTCTTTTCGCTCATTCTGCATCATCGGCATGAGTCCTGAAATTCAAATTCGCGCTCCATTGCTCATGCGTAGTCTGAAGACCGAGATCTCCAACGCCATACAACGCTCACGACTGGTCGGCTGGGGTGCGTGGTCATGCACTTTGACCGCTGCAACGCTTCCGTCCTGTGCGAGAAGTCTCTGCTTTTGGCAAATATTAAAGGGATTGTTATTTCTCGGTTCGGAGGAGAGAATGGCTTCCTGGGGTTATCCCATACGTGTGGGGAGCAATTAATACAGACAAAAGTTTTGGAAGAATCTGTCAAATCATAAAATGCATGAAACCAAGTGGTTAACGAGAGTTGAAGGTTCCGATAACATCACCATGCAAGATGCCAATTTTTTTTAGGAGGTATCACTAGTTATCTCTCAATTTGGCATTAGTTGTTCAATTTTCTATGTGCTCGCGAAAATTATATCGAGAAGCTCTAGTAAACATAGTTCTGACCAATCACAGAGTTCTGTTCGGTAGTGTATGTGATAATTAATCCAAACTGATTGATAACTAGTCACTCCTATTTTTCTAAATAGTAGAATAAATGTCGTACTGAAAGTTGTACAAAGAACTAAAGATCATCGCCTGATGTAATTGTTCTCGGAGTATCGAATACGCTACACTATGAAAGAATTATATGCAATCAAGTGCCGCCTAAAATAGTTTACATAGTAAAGCAAAGAATGTGGACCATGATTTTGTATAATTTCATTGTGGAATTATATATAAAATTCCATATATGGGGCGGCGCGAAGCTACATGCTTCGCCCAAATTTTCATATGCATTTAAAGTTTAAAAAGAATAAAATTCTCCGCAAATTCATACAATAGATTCACTAATATAGATTTGAATATGTCGTGTATAATTGAGAACCACCAAATTTGTAACGTAATACCCTAAATTTCAAACCAAATATTGAAATTTTGAAACCATGGTTGTTGTTGCCGTTCCATTCCGTGCCTATCATTCCGTGCATATCTCCTCTCAATGGTGTTCCGCGGAAATTGGTAATTATTGCTTCTACAACGATAAACTGAAAAATTGAAAGTGTTCGTGTGTTCCTACTATAATCATTTGCAAGTCATAAGCCGCTCCATATACAAATTTATCTCTCGTTACTAAGTGCATCATGGATCGCAATACAGTACTGTACTCTGCTCTCATAATAATCAACTAAAACTCGACTCCAAGATTTGATTTATTGATTTAAATCAACCTCGACTCCAAGATGAGTGACCGTTGGATGAACAAGCGGAGGAATTACTACTTGTGGTCTGATATGATTCTTGGGGGATTAAGGGCGGGTCCAGCTCCATGAAGAAAACGTTTTCAACATGATGATGGCTCGAGGAGAGCCCGCTGGTGGTTCGGCAGAGAAGGCTTCGGGTGAAGCGGATTGAAAGAGTTCGATGCAGAGGCATACACTTTACCCAAGATCGGCGGAATTACCTCTCACATTCATTCTTCGGAATTCCCAATCACTTGTGGTGCGGAGGGAGCGAGGCGGAAAGATTCTGCTAAAGGCGCTTTGGTCCATTCTCCTCTGGGACATGGTGACACGAATGTCTCTTGCGGTCCGAAAGAGGTACATCCTCTCATGCTTATCACCAGCACTGTACGCAGGAAAAGCACGAGTGCTTTTCCTGTGTTAGTGTTCCTGCTTTTCACGTTATAGTCTTCTTTCTGTCATACTGTTCTCAATTCTCAATTCTCAACTCTGCTCCAAGCAGCTACAGAACTATCAGGAAGAACTCGAGAGACCAGGGAAACATACAAAGTCTTCTGTCTGATCAGAGTAGTGTCTGAGTAAACGACCATGAGTTGAGTTGGTCCTGGTTCAAACTCACTAGGGCTTCGTTTTTTTCTGATAGTTGGGTGGCCTACATAAGCTCCAACCGAGTGTTATGGCAGTATCAAGCTGCCATAAAAAGAAATGAGTATTGGAGGAAAAGTGATCGATGTACGAGGCTGAACAACCATGTCACCTCCTGCATGAGGTGAGCACGGTCAGCCTTTGTATGCTCCTGCGGAGAAAAAAAAACGCAAGTCACAGTCTGGCTCCTAGACCCTGGACCCTCTTCCGTGGAGTTCAGCTTTGTTACATGAGCACGCCTGCTGTATAAAGACTCCTGCAGCGAGGCTCCGTTTATTTCCACACAAATTCATAAGAAAATTCCTCCCGGGCCCGGCCCCTTCGTGACATAAGACTTTATGATAAGAGAATATGTCACCATGGCCTCACCGGAACACGCAGGAATATACTTTCTGTTTCCACCACAAATAATGAAGGGTATAATTTCTGTTCCCATCGTCCCATTGGAGATATAATCGACTGACTTTGTCTTTTCGGCATGTGTTCCAATCCCGAAGGCTAGAGTGATCCTCAGCAAGACTATCTGCACCCTAGAGCCCTCAAGCCACTATTACACCTACTCTCTTGCGTTCCAACTCCAAATCCTGATTTGACTTTCAAGAATGTCTGGTCGCAGAGAGATGCATCGGATCTTCTTGGTAAATTGTCCAGTGAGAATGTATGTTTTTCGAAATTCCCGGGAGTTACATGTCAAAACTAAAATCCGTGAAACTCCGATATCCTGATCTTCAATTGAGGAGAATCTGAAATCCAGCTCTGACGAGAATCAAGAGGACTTTGGCTGGTGAGCAAGTGTTGCCCGTAGGGATCGCTACTGCATCCCTTTGAAGTAGTCTAGCGAGATGAACATGGGGATGAATGAGACGGCCGAGATGATGAAACGATGGCAGACCAGAGGCACATACAGTCCAAAAAGATGGAATTTGGAACGAGATGTATGATTTCATGTGAACGGAATCAGAGAAAAAATACGAAAAGAAAGGTGGGAGGATGCGAGGGTGTTGGACGGGAATGAGCAGACCAGTACAACAACAAGAAAAGCAACATCATGAGGCCTATGTGAAATAGCCAAACAGAGTACAGAAAAACTGGGCACAGAAGATGTAAAGTAGACATGATTTGCAGCTACAACAAACAGCGTAGTGTCGGTGCCGAAGCTTTGGAAGGCCAAGGGAGAACAGCAAGCAAGCGTCCAGGGCCCTGGAAGAGGAAAAGAAGAAGGGAGAGAATGCAGCTCAGTGCTCCTAGAAAGAAGCGAAATGAGATGGATCCAACCCAATTCCGCTCCAGAGAAACTGCAGCATTCCTGCTGTCTGCCAGGAAGCGGAACACGGTTTTATTCCAAAACCACGCCATGAACGGGTGAAAAGCTCCAGAGCTCACTCCCGGTCGCAGGACGAGTATTCGCACACCGGCGACAACATCGTTATCAGAATCGACAACCAAGGCGCAGAAAGGCAAGAGAAGTTAATTCTGCCCAACATGCCAGACAAAACCCCTGTAGTTGCAAGGAGTGGGGAGGCAGTAGCCACCTCGAGCAGTGGGTGGGCCAAGCAGGCGGTGCCGGGCCTGGCCTGGCCTGGGAGGCTCTGGGCAAGGCTTCCCCCTGTCGATGGATGCAGCAGCAGCGGAACGAGAGTGAATTGTGAGAAACTGTGTCTGTCATGTCATGGAGGCAAGGCGGCGAGCGGACGGCGGTGAGGGGAGGGGAGGGAAACGGGGAAACGGGGACTGGGCGAGGACGTGGAGGACGAGGAGGAGCAGAAGGCGAAGGCGAGTGCTTTCGGGCTCGAATGTGAATGTGAGCGTGGGGCCCGCGTGATGGTGATGCGCTCCATGCGTCACGAGCACCGGGCGAAAAGCAGAGGACGGAGCGCGGGGCGAGCGGGCGGGCGGGCCCCACGGCGCCTGCGTCTGCGTCTGCGTCCGCGTCCGGGCGGGCACGGGCAAACATTTGTAAATACTGGGCTTGGGCTCCATCAACATCGGTTCTCGAGAGTTGTCGTACAGAAGAGGAGTCTCCGCTAGAGGGGAGCGAGCGGTGGTGCATGCCGCAAGAACCCACCTCATTCTTCGAAGAAACAATGTAGTGCTTGTCGAGCACATAAGCCCGTCCCTCCCTCCCGCATCCCCGGCCTCGCTCCCCTTGTTGTTGTTCTTCTTCTCTCTCCTTTTGTTCTTCCAATTCTTCGCTGCCCTCTCCCGTTCATCCTTCCACATCCTCCAAGCTCAGTCTAGATACAGCCTCGCTCGCAGATGCTGAGCCCTGCAGCGCAATTCTTCGCCACTTCTTCCTACCTCTACAACGGCGCATACCACAGACCGACCGACACACATAGACACACAGACACCTTCACACGGACAGACAGACCCGGAGAGTGATCGACCGCTCGAGAGAAGTGAGTTTACGACAAATTGAAAGACACGTAAATATGAATATGAGTATGGAGGCGGCGATGAAAAGAGATGAGGAGATGGGCATGGGCACGGAAGATCGGGGGAAAATGTGGGCGATAGACCAGCGAATGGACCAGCCACTCGGACCCGAGTCCGGTCGGATTCGGATCATGAATGATGGCAAAAAGGTGAGAGTGCACGTATCATCTCGAGTTCATGTCTGTATGTCGCTTCGGCCCGCCTCTCGATTCACTCGCTGGTTTGCGGGTCCGATGTTTGTCACCGAATCCTCTTGGCGTTAGAAGTTTATGGAGTGGCTGAATTCGTCGTTGACATTCTCTTTTCTAAAATCAGCTTGTAAGATTTGCCCGTGATTTTATGATCACTCTCTAGGATTAGAATCGTGCTGTGGACCTTGTGAGAGGTTGCTCTCGATAATGTTTGCCATGTCCATAAGAAAGTCAATTGTCTCGATGCTCAGGAAATTACCCGTAACTAGAATTGCTGCACCAGGTCTACGGTCGTTCTCAGGGGTGTCAGCTGGTTCAGCGCTAGAAGTAATTTGGATCCTTCTTATCATCTAAAGCTGAAATGGGTTGAAGGCTGAATATGCCCATAATGATGAGGAAATTTGTCAACCTCCGCGCGGTATGGCAGTTTTGTGCAAATAGAATAAATAACGTGTTAGCTGGCTTCTGCACTGTCTCGTAGCCGTACTTCATTCGCGATGTTTTACGAACACCCTCAGCGCAGAAAAGCTCCCAATAATTGCTGCCGCCCTCGTCAAGCACAGCACGAAGGATTCTCTCTTAAAGAATGTAATTCCATCTACGCACGAAATCAATCCAAACCTCCAGCCAAAGCTCTTCTCCTCAGTCTCGTAGTATCAGAGAATCTTGTGCGGAGGACCACCTTTTGTACGAGATATGCCTTCTGTCTGGGAATTTGTCCGGTCTAGTTGTCCACATTTGACTTTGAGATAAGAATTCTGCATCGGGCTTTGAAATTCGGGGGCCCTGGTATGTTGTAAGTTTGTATCGAAGGTTCTACGGAGGCTGGGCGTTCTTGGAACTTGTGGACTGATGCGCAGGGAAAACGATGTAGCTCGAGCCCATAACGGAAGCGGAATCTTGATAGATTGTGGATTGGAAATCTGAAAATTGTTTGGTGTTGATGTGTGATACAGGCAGTACCATTGGCTGCGCTCCTACGCCTGGCATTCCAAAGTTTGGGTATCGTTTACGGTGATTTGGGGACATCACCGCTTTATGTCTTCCGCAGCACGTTCCCGAGTGGGCTGAGGGAAGAGCATGAACACGAAGTTTTAGGGGCACTCAGTCTCATCATTTTTACTCTCACTCTTATACCTCTCATCAAGTACATGTTCATTGTGCTGAGAGCCGATGACAATGGTGAAGGTGCGTTTCTTATCTGAACCACGTCATGCGTCTGACTGGCTCTCTAGCCACATCAAAGCTTTGTGCTTGGGTCATTGACGATGAAATTCCCTGTCGATGTTTGGCTATTGAGCTTGGCGACTCGGTCCCCCTTTTCGCGCTGTTTGAAGGATCGACGTCGATGACAGAAGTTAGATTTCTGGCTATTTACAGAGTCCTATCGCATTCGTTTCATTGCAGGAGGCACATTCGCTCTATATTCATTACTGTGCCGATACTGCAACATCAGTTCCCTTCCTAGCCGTCATCCAACGGACGAAGAGCTTACAACTTATATCAAAACACTACCACTGCCAAATTCTCGTGCGGAGAGCATGAAAACACGGCTGGAGAAGAGCTCGTTTCTTCAGTTCCTTCTTTTGATGCTTGTTTTGCTAAGCACGTGTATGGTTATAGGAGACGGCATCTTAACGCCGGCAATATCAGGTGAATGCTCTGGTTGTTCTTACATTATGTTGTATTTCTCATCGTTTCTCCTGCTCTTTTTGCTTTCTGACGAGCAGGACATGCAATCAATCAATGGTCGTCATATGTCCCCTCCTGTCGCAAAAATATCCTCGTTCAGAGAGTCAATTCCCATGTTTTTATACTTCGATTTTCATCCGTCCAACCTTTGGGCAATCGTCAATTTATTCAAGCGATCCACGAAGTCTGATCATTCCAAAGTTTTTCGTAACAGTTTGGCCCATTATGCTCTCTCTGACAAATTTTCCTCCGTCTGCAGTTTTGTCAGCGGTCGATGGAATTAAGGTGGCATCATCTAAATTGAATCAAAGTAAGCAACGGAGGGCTTCCTTGTCAACCGCTTTGCCATCTGATTTTCTAGCAGAAAATTTTTCTTTTTCCTTTTTGACTATAATGTCATTTCGAGGTTGTAAAAGCTGGAAATCTGTTCTCCGCATGGGTATCTTTGAGGTTGAAGTTAAATTTGTTGAATTTAAGGCTCACCCGAATGTCTTTCTATTGCAGCTGTGGTGGTTTTAATTTCTCTGGCCATTTTAGTGCTGCTCTTCAGCATGCAAAGATTCGGGACGGGCCAGATTGGGTTTCTTTTTGCTCCGATCGTTATGATCTGGTTCTTGGCTAATGGGTCTATCGGCATCTACAATATCTACCAGCATCATCATTCTGTTTTCCAAGCTTTCTCACCTCATTATGGCATCAGATACCTAATAAAGAATAAGAAAGAAGCATGGTCATCACTTGGAGGAATTGTATTGTGCATCACAGGTGAGATGGAATCTAGTCGGATATGTCAAATTCGCCTCAAAATTCTTAAGAGGCAACCTATGTTTTGCCTTTTGTGAGATGAAATTTCCTTCAATTCATGCATCGCAGAAGTACGTATGCATCGAATGAGCGAGGAATTCTTTAACCTCTTTCGTTATCATCGCAGGGACGGAAGCCTTGTATGCTGATTTGGGACACTTTTCAGCACAATCCATTCAGGTGAGCGAACATTATACCGCGAAAGCAATCCAGGTGAGCGATGAATAGTCGCTACCCTGCCCCTCTACCCTGGCATGCTCATTTTGCTTCAAAGTTGCTCGCAATTTTAATACTGCTCTCCACCTTGACGAATTTACGAATCGTGCTGAGAAAGAAACAAAGCATGTGCTCATACAAGTGTTGTGGGGTGTTTCCAGATCGCGTTTAGTGTTCTCGTTTTCCCCTGCTTGTTACTGTCTTATTTGGGTCAAGCTGCGTACCTCATGCATCACCCCGAAGACGTGAAAGACACGTTTTACAAGTCGCTTCCACGTACGGACCACATCTCTCACTGATCTATGTATTTTCCAGCGTTTCAAGTTTTGCTGCATCTGGTCCGATCAAAAGGCTGAAATTTAAGTTAATTGAAATTGGTTTTTTTATATGCAGATCCTCTGTACTGGCCGATGTTTGTTTTGGCAACTATATCTGCATCGATTGCAAGTCAGGCCATCATTTCTGCTACATTCTCGATTGTGAAACAATCCATGGCTCTCGGATGCTTCCCCCGAGTAAAGATTGTGCACACGTCCCACAAATTGATGGGTCAAGTGTACATTCCTGAGATCAACTGGATAGTCATGATTCTTTGTCTCATAATTACTGCTGGTTTCAAGGACACAGAGCAGATCGGAAACGCTTATGGTATGTAAATCAGCTTCTGTTCCCTCTTTTGTGCCCTCGTTTCCATTCCCATTCCGTCACAAACCAAGCTCAACTCTATGAAAATTATGCATCTTCCGGAGTTCATGTTAGCTTTATGGAACCAATCTTATCGTTTTGAAGCTGACAAATCTTGGAAATGTGTGTACAGGCATCGCCGTTGTAGGAGTGATGCTATCCACGACGGTCCTCATGTTCCTGGTCATGATAATGGTTTGGCACAAGAATTTGTGGGTTGCTGCGTTATTCCTAGGAGTTTTTGGTACGGTTGAGGCGGTTTACTATTCTGCTGTGTTGTTCAAGGTTCAGCAAGGCGGTTGGGTGCCTCTGGCCATAGCTGCGACGATGCTCATAGTGATGTACGTGTGGCACTACGGGACGATTAAGCGGTATGAGTTCGAGATACAGAACAAAGTGTCAGTGGGCTGGGTACTAGGGCTTGGCACAGGACTAGGTCTCGTCAGAGTGCCCGGAATCGGGCTTGTATACACAGATTTGGCCCATGGAGTTCCTCCCCTATTCTCTCACTTCATCACCAACCTGCCTGCCATCCATTCCACTTTGGTTTTCGTATGCATCAAGTACTTGCCAGTCAATACTGTACCTAACGAGGAACGTTTCCACATCAAGCGCATCGGTCCTACCAGCTTTTCCATGTTCCGATGTGCTGCAAGGTACGGTTACCAGGATCTACACAAGAAAGACGATAAGTTTGAAGAGACTTTGATTGAAAAGCTGACTCATTATATAAAATATGAAGCCCTGGTAGCATCCACTCAGACCAACTATCCAGGAGACTGGACCTCGGTGTCCTCGTTAACCACATCCAGTGCGCGCACGACAACAATGGAGAGCGACCATTCGCAACTTCCTGGAAGGACAGTTCACTTTCAGGAAGAAGACAGCCCTCCAGATTCTCCTGATGGCATCAGTGCACCAAGGCAGAGAGGAGGTCGGCCTTTGCATCCGGCAGTGATTGAGTCAGATGATGATATTGGTGAGGAAAGCGTGAGCGAGTTGGAGACCTTCCTGAAGAACAAGGAGATTGGGGTGGTGTACTTGCTAGGCAACACGATGGTCAGGGCGCGGACGGGATCTGGACTTCTGAAGAGGATTGCCATCAACTACATCTATGCATTTTTGAGGAGAACTTGCAGAGAAAGCAAGGTGATGTACAATGTCCCACACGAGAGCTGCTTGCAGGTGGGTATGGTTTACTATGTGTGACGAATCGTCGCGATGAATGCACCGACCTGGCCACAGAGAAAGAGAGGACTGTTTCTTCAGATGCTATTCAAGAGGAGAGATCAGGTACCCCGCTAGGAGCAAGAAAGAAGGAGAGGGCTCTTTCTTGGGCCTGGGCACCATTTTTGTGTACAGATATCACAGTGTAGGTTTGGAGAGCTGAATGTAATTGGACTGCGCACACGAACATGTATATAGGTCTTAAACTCGTCAGTCAGCAGCAAGCAGCCAGTCAAGTGAAGTTAAGACGTCAGTCAGGCAGCCCATGACTTGGAGCAGCAAGCACAGCTATGTGGGAAACGGCCATTCATGAGGGCTGATTTGCGCTGCAACACCCACTCCAGCTCGTGAGGCAAATTTATCACCCAGCCACCCGCGAAGTCATAACTTCTCAACAGGAGCAAGGTCCACTCGTGGTGTCTTCGGGCTAGTCTCGTGTCTACTAAGGTTTGCTCCCTGTTATCACCGCACAGGCGAAGGATGGGGCAGACTTCATGTTGTAGACTTGCAATTCAAGCAAAGGAAGAAGCAAGCACTAGATTCATTGTGTCATATACATCAGGTTGCCACAGCGACCTTCACTCGAGGCATCTTTTATGTCAATGCCTTTGTACATCCATTTTAATCATTCTGAAAAAAACCTTTTAACCTTCACGTCTGTGATGGAGTTTTCCAGCTAGGCTTTCCCGGTCTCACAAGATATTGGATGCACTTGTCGTACTTGTGCGTCTATGCTTGTAACAGTAAGCCTCAATTCTTGTGCATCACAACCTCGAGTGCAGGAAGTGCAAAGTATGACGCCTCCTTTCTTAAATTACATTGGATACAAATGAGAGTCCTCCTGCTCAGTTTGAATCACTCTTCAGAGCTCGTATTAGCATCGGAATTCATATCGTGAAAACATGAGTGGAATCAGACCTGCGCCTGCTACCGACTGTTACACAGACATTCTTGCATCGTTACAATTCTTCAGCAGGTTCCACGCACTCTCTCAAGAGAAACGAAAGTGAGTTTAAGCAGGAGCAATTTAGCTCTTTATATTGATCGATCTTCAATGTTACCACAGCATGAAAATTCTGTCCAGTCGACTTCTTCCCCCTCCGTATCCATCACTTCGCTAAGGAGTACTCAAGCGGAGGATTACAGAGTGTTTTGACAACCAGAAGTAAGTCAACCTCAGGTGTTGGCGTTTCAATCTGACCTCCAGCTGAAATAGCGGAGAAGCTCCCAGTCTACATAATCCAAACTTTCGTAATGTCAGCCCCCCAGTACTGTACAAACTAACTGTACTGCATCTTACAACATTTTTGTGTGGAGGAGATCCAAATGTTCTACTTTACATGCACAAAGCCCTTCACTCGTCTCTTCAAAAAGGCGACTATTCCACTTTAGATTCTAGGGGAGAAACATTTCGTAAATGTACGTTTTCATCCGCGAGGGTGTTGAATTGCAGCTACAAGTTCAACATCGGCTCCTCGGTCTGACACCATCATATGCACATCTGGAGGAAAAGGTGACGAGGAGCTTTCTTTACAAAAGCAGAAGTATATTATAAAGGTATTGGACGGCAAGGTCTAGTGGCCCAGGCAGGCAGTAGTGAAGACAATCAGTGTCCGTAATGTGTCCCTCTGGTCGTAAGCTCAGCATTGTGTCAACATCCATGTACATGTACTGAAATTCCTTCACAATCTCGGCTGCAAGCTTGTTCTGTCGGTAGAAGTCCTCCCAGTGGTAGCCATGAGGAAGGTCGCTATGTTGCCGCTCCGATAGAGGTTCATGATAAAACGAGCAGTTAGCATGCCCTGATCAGAAACATAAGTCTTAGATCAGTTTATACACTATGCCTAAACTCTCTCGAGAAGCAGGTCTCTGCAACAAAATATCATGGTTACGTAAGCTAAGTTGACACAATTTCGCACATTCCTCGTATTTATGGATGGCCCACGAGTGGAGTGAATTAATTAGACCTGGTATTATGGGTCCGAAGAGACTTATCTCTTTACTCCTCGCGACTTCTCGTAGTTTATCAAATTATGGGCGTTATTGAGAGCTTACATGGGCACCAATAACTTTATCATATTGTGTAATTTATTTGTGGTGAAGTTCATAGATTTTCTACACAAATCCGATGCCCGTGAACTCCATAGTACACAATCCCCGTTATGTGAAGATTCTTCTTATATGTTAGATCTAGTAGAATATACTTCAAGTTGTGATGTTACTTGGTCCTAGCCCCTTGGTTCCATTACTACTGGATGGGGTCTTGCCAAGCAAATCTCTATGAATCCCTGCTATCCGTATCTTCTCTTGGTAGAAGGATCGGAAACTTGGTTCACTTCTATTTGATAAGCCCGATTTAGCAAGGAAACAATACTATGTATATTAATCCATACCTGGCTCTGTTGAGGATCCTAATAATCGACGTCCACCCTCAGTACCCTATTCGAGGGCTGTTGGCATGCCACTCAAACTCGAGATAGTAAGACATGTTTGTTGATATTGGGAAGTCTGACAATAGATAGTTTCCCCTATTTTCAGGTGGAGACTGAATTGATCTCAGAAGAAGCTTTCCCTGCAAGATTTACTTCTTTACCTCAAATACTGAGCTAAAAGGAGAAGCTTCTGCACTTTTCTTCAAAGTGCAGAGGAGTAAATAAAACGTCCTTGCACGTCAATAGCGCGTACGAAGGCAGCATTACGAAACGGTAGATCTAAGCAGGTTCTGACGGAAGGCATCCGACACGAGGGTCATTTTGAGCGAAACATTGACAGATCTCGCTCTTCTCGAGGCCTGAACATGTCGTTTTGAAGGCCAAGCCAAGAGTTGGAGATGTTCCCCCACAGTGTCACGAGAATCTCAGTCATGATTCCGGACAAGAGATTCTCAGGTCCTGGCTATTTTAAGAAGAGGACCTGCGTGAACAAATGTTGGGATCCTCCGAGATCCTGCCCAGCCCTGCGGAAATAGCCCCCACCCCTGAGCTAAACGCGTGACCGACAAGTGTTCGTCCAAATATACAAATAGGGCCCTCTTGTGGGAGGGAGCACGGCTCCCTTCTCATTAAAGGTCGGTCAGTCAGTCCACATCCTTCGCGAGAGTTTATCTATCATAAAATAGAAGTGCAAAACCTCATCCACGATTTCTTTTTCCTCTTAGACGACAGCTGAAGAAAGAAGCTGCGGCTATGAACACTAACTACTCCGTTGACACGGAAGGCATCATCTGCAGCTCACAGCTGACGAGTCAACCTCAATCTATGGAAGCGCACTTCTCGAGACTCGGTCCGTTGGGATGGGGTACATCAGAAAGCTGAAGTCTCACCACTAAAATAGATGACGGAGTGTAGCTTTTGCTGGCGGGTCTTCTGAGACGAGACCGTGGAGACTCAGTCAGGACTGATAAACGCGTAGACGAGTCGCATCTTATGTCTACCGTCGAGGAACTCGTGTCAGTGCATCAGCAGATGACCACGTTCCCAATCATTTCTGGGTTCATCCCTCCCCCGACGCGCTAGCGTTAGCGAATTGTTTGTGTAGTATTCGCAGGTGGAGGCAGTGGGGCATCCCGGGTGGCAGCAAGATGGATTCTGGAAATCAGAGCTTTCTGATTCAGGAGGAGACATGGATCTGAAAGATCCTCCCACTTCTGTGGATATTCAGGCTTCGATAGATATTTGAATTCGACTCTCGGAATATGTAGTCGATAACTCCCAGAGTTCGGGAAAGACCCCCAATCTCGGCTGTTGTGCCCCTTCTGGGATGGAATGTCAATACAGTAGACGCAGTTTCGAGCTTCGTACAGATTTTTCCTGTGACGAGTCGTCGGTCGACCAATTTCCTCCGTAAGAATCTAACATGCAGAAATGGATCTGGATGGGAGAACACTGTAAGGAACATCTTTCCCAGGCTTGACGGCCTCCAATCACCCAGACCTCGCTAGACTGATGGCAAATGGAGAAGATTTGGGAAGACAAGTGCCAAAGCTGAAGTATTTTATTCCTCAATAAAGTGAGTTAGCAGCTGGAGCACTAACAGGAATGCAGCCTCGCACCCAGCAGCAGTTGTATCTAGATCCTATACGAGCAGGGTGTTGATACAGTTGACTACTATATTTGAAGTACCAGTGCATGATCATGATCGTTTGCACAGCATCAGGATTTAGGATCGTAGAGCGAGCACTGATGGGGATGTGGAATTTTCACAATTGACTTTGGTTTGACTTCTGCTGAAGGTTTCCAGGAAAGGAAGGATACAACCGAGCAGAGCAGGAAGGGAAGGTACATTACCCGGAGGAGTGTTGCGGAAGATGACCTGCATGTGAGGGAAGTGCTCGGAAAGGATGGTAAAGATGAGTCTGAGAGCTCTCACGAAAGTCTTGTCGTCCTCGTAATGTGCCCCCCTGTTCAACAGCAGAAGCCTCACGTCGTACTCTTTCAACAGATCCAGCCACGGCCACTCGTAGAAGTTTCTCCATGTGTCCACGCTGATGTTGGCCACGGGTGAAAGACGGTCGTTGCGCACGAATGCTACCTTGAAACCATTTCCCGCCCCAAAGATGTCCCCGCACATCTCGTACACTCCATCGTTACTGCGGTCTCCGGAGCTCATGTGACCGTATCCTTGTCCGCTCAGCACCAGGTGGTTCATGAAGGACCAGGCAATCTCGTGGTTTATAGAATCCCCTACCACCATCACGTTCCTCTTTGGTCCTATCCTTCTGCACAAACGATGGCAGTTGCCGGTCATTGGAGCTCAACCTAACGCCACAAGATCAATGTTACAGCGCCGAATGCAAGAATCAACGGGAGTGCCCCGAAACTCTTAAGCATATAAGGCATCTGACCTTTTCAGCTGCCTTACATGCTTTAGATCCACACAGTCTATCAACTGTGTGGATTACCCGGAGGAGATTCATGCTTATTTGCGTTGATGTGATTTGAGTTTGCTTCCAAAGACATACTACTGTCCCATGGCCGGGGATGGCTGGCTTTGAACCTCTTGACGATATCGGACATCCTGAATTAGCATCTCAACTGAACATCACTCCGAGCCATTGTGTAGTCACGCTGTTGAGTGCCAAACAATCGTTTGGCAGCCAGCAAACTTAGAAGACGTTTACGGAGACAGAGTTTGAATGCTGTGGAGACAATTAATGTCCACTAAGGTCATTCGATTGGACTACGACACTCTATACTGCACATAGTGAACAGACTTGTCTTCTGTCCAAACCGCGAGCAGTGGCATTCCAACATCCGTGACCCAGAGCAAGATCTCACATCAGTAGAAGAAAGGATTATTTGGTAGAACCTGTGGGGATTTGGCGTTAGTCTCGAGCCAGGCTCTTGCCAAAGACATATCATGTCCGCTGCAGTCATTCGTGTGTACTAAGTCTTCACTCCACGAGAAGACACGCTCTACTGCACTAAGTGGCAATTTTGTCACTAACTAAACGTACTCGAAATCACTGCTGCACATCAGCATCTACGAGCGTCAGCATGACTGATTTGGTCTTAACCCAGAATTGTGCTTTACATCTTCTGTCTTCTGAGCTGCATGACTGTGAGCTTGGACCAGGTTTACGCCCGTTCTGTGTGGAAGATCGGTTGCCCATTCGAGGCATATGGTAGTGACTGGACGAAAGAGTTTTGAAGACTTACTTGCAGAAGTCATCACGGTCGACTGGCCAGAAAGTACAGCTGCTATTTGTCCGCCACACCCATTTCAACTCCTCACGAACCTGAAAAAGTAGAAGATGATTTTGTCATACTCTGAAAGTATTCTTATACTAAATAACTTGAGTAGTGTTAAGAAATCCCCAGAATGGCCTCTGATTGAACTCTTTCCTGAAGGCTCAGGTAAATTCTACAACTTGGTCGGCAGCACAGACAGTTCAGCAGCTCACCAACCAGTCTTTCGGGTCGCCTTCCATTGCTATAGCTTCGGCCTGATCGCCAGAGACATGACCTGGGCCTGTCCACTGATGCCGACTATCGCATCCCGAAGCATAAGTATCTCCGATAGAGTTCCATGGCATGTGCCGTGGTGTGGTGTCATAGACCCACTTTCCTGACTCACTGAACAAAAAGGACAACGTTTTCAAGATAACAGCATTAGAAACAAGCGCCTCAGCTGGGTGCTTTCAAAACAAAGTCGGACAAGTTCGACTTCTGCATCGACCTTGCAACAATTTTTGGGATAGTTACAAAAGCCTGCTTTAATGTCGTGCACTACAATGCTTCCATGTTTTCGGCCATCGAAAGAGCTATCGATACCAGTGTCTACCTGAAAGGGCAGACAGGCTGAGCAAAGACAAACGAGCAACTTGTTGCGTTAAAATTCTAGACCGACTACAGTGCAATGATTGTGGTTTTTCATCAGCTGGTATGCTAAGTGCAAGCAAATAATGATCACAACACCGAAACAAAGACAACAATTGTTGACAATTGCTCTTGCATCCAAGGATGTTCCGTCATTGGTCGACAGGAAGTTCAGGAACGCAAGCAACGCTATTGCTTAGTGACAGAGAGGCTGGTATTCAAAGATCGAAGGAACTAGAGCTGGACCTGAAACAAGCAAGATGATTTCGAAACTGCTCCACTGCCTTCTTCCCTTTCAGATAAGTTGCCTTGATTACTGGCTCCTCAGTTGAGTTTGTCATCGGATTTTCAGCTATTGTCGGAGTGCCGTAAGGAAAGAAGTCTGACCATGGCATACTCATCAGGTATGGGTCGCGGCTTTCCAAAGTGACTAGCCAAAGACTTCCCAGCAAAAATACAGCAAAGGTGCCCAGGAGAATGTATCGTCTGTTAGCCTGGTCTCCATCTACCTTCCAATTCTTAATACACATTCCTAAAGACGAACACAGCTTCTTAAGCTCCAGTTCCATTGCAGCTGTGATTTAGAGCGAGCTAATGTTTCGAAACTCGGTCAAGAGAAGCAGTCCAGCTCCTGGATGTCATTGCAGCTGGAAATATTGGAAGCGATCTCTGGCTGTCGAGGGTGCATTACACTGGTTTAAACGGACCCAAACCAGAAATTGTTCTGTTTCTAACTGGTCCTGCAAAGGAGCCCACACTTAGAAGCTCAACTCAGCCCATGCACCAGAACACAACTTTCAAAGGATCCTTCATTCATACATGCATTCACATCCGAAGATAACTTAAAACTCTGCCGCCTATCAGCACGTTCCATCAGTGTCCATTAACTGCTGGAATTGACGCTTCGCAAACAGAAAAACAAAATGCTTTGCCCTTGCACAAATTGTGGGTGTGTTCTAACGGAATCTACATCTCAAGTTCTAGCTTACCATGATAGTAGGAGTGAATCATACAAGGAGTTATGGGATCTTCATAAATGCAGATGGGGTTTAACATTCATAACCGAACAAACAACCGTAAAATTATGTAGTGCGCACTAACCTCTGTGACCAAACACCAGCCAGGCTGATCTCTGTTGTCCATGACTTGATATCTCCCTGTCTCAGGCTCTAAAATGACCTACCGCAGAACCTCAGACAGCAGTTGCAAAATCTGAAAAATACTAACACAGCTGCCAGTCAAAACAAACATCAACGACATACTGCGGCATGACTACTGAAAAGATATAGAAAATACTCACGACAAGAACTGGCTGTTTCTATAGAACTAGTGACATTTTAATACTGGCGGCTAGCTGACTGGCTAATTATTTATTTTTCTCCTCCAACTTTCACTACGAGCACTTCGCAAAAATCTAAACCCTCTAGAAGTCCAAATCCTGCGTAGTAACACAAGCGAAGAAGTCTGACTTTTACGGACAGAAGCTAATGTTTAAGCTAATGACCGAGAGGCACTTGAAGAGCTGTGACGAGAGAATCATTTTCATCATCATCATCATCATCTAGGCCACCTCCGAAGTGCTCTAGAAAAGTCCATAAAGAGCTGAGAGCCATCTAGCTCAGGATGAGACTATATAAGAACTCAGGCTTCGAGTGCTCACATGAATAAACGTCACGTCCTTCTGAAACCAAGCCCGGGCATCACGCCTGATCCATGTAATTCCTTATGTTAAGCTTCCACCCAGACTGCAAATTATCAGAAACCACAAAACGACTTCCTCGTCCTGAAACATGAGCGTCTTCTAGACGTCAGATCTCAGACCACGATCTGACAACTCGCCATCTCGCCACTTCCTCGGAATTCTTCACAAGAAGTTGGTGAGGCGTCTGCGAGCACTCCAACAGTTGGCCGCCACAAGCGAACGCAGCTCACGTGTTTGACAATCCCGCTCCGTCACGTTTGCCAAACGTATGCCCTCAACTTGCACCCCAGGACCCATAGACTGCGCAGGGACTGAGCGACAGCGCTCGCGTATCTGGCACTGCAAGCCCCGCACTCCTTCGCCTCCTACGTCCTCCCGAAATCAGACTACATTATCGAGATCACAGCGTGACTGGACTCGACCATCAGACTGCATGAACCTCGTCGAATTGACTCTGCAAGAGTCGTTTCGGGGAGATTGAAGATCGAACTGCATTCCAGACTTCGATGGTCGAAGTATCTCAACGGGATCCAAACCCAAAGACTCTGAGATTCCACAGACCAGCAGCCGTCGTCGTCGGCAGTCCCGTCGAGGCTCGAGACTCGAGTTTGGTTTGGAAGGGCTAGATCCGGAGGATAAGGGCAGATGGTGGTCGTTCTCGGAGTGGAACCTCTGGACAAGGGACTGTGAATTCGGTTTCGCTCAGCGTCCATCGGATCGACGGTGGCGAGAGGCGGCAATGGCTGTTTGCTTTCTTGTACTCCAAGAACGGGCCGCAGATCCTGCATGAGATGCATGGCTTCGTCACGTGCAATAACTAACCTTTCGTTCGCATAATTGCCTCTCACCGTATGCCTTGTTGACCGTATTTGAGTCCCGTACGGGTCACCCTGGATAGACAACAGCAATAATCCTGCCGTTGGTAGATTCCCTCACGCTCCAGGAGCCCGGACATCATTCTGTGCTTTTCAATTGCGAAACTTTAATTACCATTTCTAATTATCCCACTTTTCTCGCGAAGCAATAATTGTAGCCTCTTTCTGATTTTGAAAGAGACATCTTGTGGTTTTGTGCTGATGTCTCTACATTTATGCAAAATGCACATTATTACAATTACGATACCTTCGTCATTTAAAAAAAACAGCTTTTTTTCTTTCAAATAGCATTGCAAAAACCTAAGAATAAACTTGAAAAAATTGCATCGTTCATATTCATCCAAATCTAAGATTTCATAATCCTAATGAAGTAAGTAACAACATGATAAAATTGTCCATCATGGCTGGCTTCATCTTGTTTTTGATTCAGCATCACACATAAACATAAGTTCAACATATAACTTCTCTTAATACATATTAGTGTGGCAGTTAATTAAGTCAATTTTTATCCAATTTATTTCGATTACAAACTCTTTTCATGAATTGATCATTTTATTCTAACCATCATCACACATCTTCTTATTGACATTTCATCAAAAAAGTACATGATGATAATTTGCATCAAACTCTTTGCACACTACATAAATAAATATTTTCCACATACTTCCTGAACGCACTTCCTACATAATACCATCTGGTCATATATATATATATTATTTTTGCCATACATTTGTCTTCAAATAATTGTGAAAACCTTGCTATTTTTAATGTATATCATGTAAGAGATCAGACTGATATATTAATTTTCCATCCACTTTTTAACATTTTATCCTAAAAATAAGTATTTTAATCCGTTAAAATAAAACATGTATGCATGAAAACACTTATTATAATGAGGATATATTCCTAGGAAGAATATGTAGTTTTTCTAAAAATCTAAACCTTTGTGCAATTGAGAGATACAATTAAATCTTTTGTATAGTGACAAGTTAACTAGTTTGATTAATTAAAATCAAAACACAAGAGTTTTGGGCACTTGATCTAAAGGTAAAACTGATATATATTTCAAGAATTCCCTAAAATTTGTTATAAATATGTTACTTAAAAATTTTGAAATTCTTACATGAGTAAATTTATACATGAAAGTTAGATAAAATATAACGTAGACACATTAATATATTCAAATCTTATATAGAAATGTAACTTAATTGTTATTACTCTCTAATTCTATATTACATGTGAAAATTGCATGATAACACGATGTATTGGGAAAAAAATTGCAAAATTTTTATTAATGCATCAAGCTGATAAAATTCACAATCCATCTTGGATAAGTCAACTTTACTATCAAAATCTACATCAAAAAATGATTCAAATCTTGCTTACTTTTTTTTAGCTTACTCATGCTTACTAATTAGTGTTAGTTTGCCATATATAAAAAAAAATTGATTGTAGATTTTAACAACACATACTTTAAGGTTTTCAATAATATACTTATCAACATTACCTTGCTGAGATAAACCACAAATCTTTTGTGTCAGTTGAAAATAATCTGTTATTGGCTTTCTTGTTTCAACATACTTGTTGTCACTGTTGACAGATTAACCATCTTGCTACACGTGTCACATTGTTTGAATTGGTGAATGTTTTAGGTTCCAATGCATGTTGATGGAAATAAAAGAGTATACATAAATAGCTAAAAGGTGGAGGATCCAAGAGCAATTGAAGAAATGTAAGAAAGAAGTGGATGGTGCTATACACCTTACTAGTGAATGCAAAAGATTAGATATGATATGATATAAAACAATTCACAATCATTTTCACTTTTATCGCTATCTAAATATTTTATACATCACATAGATTAGTTTAACATTTTTACCTCATATGTTGTTGCTTTTGAGTTATTTAACAGTTAAAAAATAAAAATAACATCTCAAAAACATCCACAACCTTAGCCATTGTCTTGATTTTGGATGCACTATCTATTTTTATCATCGTTTTCATTATCATTCAACTTGAACATTCACTTATTATCAATCCAAAGTTGATTATTTAAAATTTCTACTAGCTTTCAAATTTTTGTTATCAATCACAACTTGCAGTTTTCACAACATAATGATATTTTATTCAAGCTTTTAAACAGAATCTTGAATCTTTTTATAAGAACAAAGCTTTTTTTCTTACAAAATCAATACATTATCATCATCCATATTAATATGATTACCTCCAAATATGTATGAATCTTCCATATTTAAAACCTTGCAAAAATAAATTTCGATTTGATTTAATGATTTTCAAAGTAACATACGTTTATTGAACTTCATGGTTTTATGCAACATCTTAGCATTCAACAGATTTTTTTTCACATGTAATTTTAGTAGATAAAAGTGTTACTTCATTTTTACTATAGATGTTTTTTGACATCATTTAATACATTTTTATCAGCAATATTTATGAATGAAAATTTGTGTTGGAATTTATGATAAGTTGTATTATGACATTGTCAACAAGGTTAAGGTATATTAAAAAAAAAAAGAGGTGTATTATTACATGGTGCATATGTCACATAGTGAGGTAAATGAATAAAATGGCAACTAGATCATAGAGACAGATATCAAATTAATGCAAAATTTTTAGAATTTGAAGTTATTTGTTATCATGCATCAAACATTATAAATAAAGCCCTTTAGGAAAAAATCACATTTTACTGTATTTATTCCTTTCATCTACATTGTTTTAAGCAAGAATATTGATAATTTTTTCAATATGAACAAGTTATGGGTAGACTTATGTGAGTTGCAAGTGAAAACATTTTTGTTGTTTAATAGTTTGAAAAAAATCCTAAAAGTTTTCAATTGTTTGGATGCACAAGGGATGATTTGAAACATTGAAGGCGCACAAAGATTCATTTGGTTCTTTAAAGATAAATAAAAATTCATCTGAAACTATTAGAAGGAACATAGAATTGGAAGAGTAGTGATGGTGTACCAATCAAAGCATTTGAACCTTGTGGGTGTTCAAATATTGCGGTTGTGCTTGCTTGCTGTGTAGAGGTGCTGATTTGAGTGCTTTAGGTGCTAAGATGCATATTAGAATCTTGATGATGCTCTCTAGAGGTCATTAAAGTAATTCTTTGCATATATGATTAAAATAGTGGTTTGTTGTTTCGAATGAGATGCAAAGATGTAGATTTGATTTTCTAGAGAAGAAAGTGAGTATTTAAATTTTTGATTTTGCATATTTGAGTTTGAAAATATTCAAATTTATTGATTGCACTATGCATTTTAGCTTGCACATTTCTTATTTCTTTTTGTCTACTTAACACTATCATTGAGGCAAATTATTATATAAACATTTTGGACTTTGATAAGCTTTTGCATTTGGATCTTTTTACTTTCATTTCGGAATTGTGAATCATCTATATTTTGGCTTTTTGGCACTATGGAATTTTCTAATCTGAATCTATTTGTTCGAAATCAAACTTAAGTATTTTTTTGATTTTGAGTGTTTATTACGCATTGATTTTTTGATTTTATGAAATTTTGACTTCTGCATATTTGCAAAATCTGCAAATTATCTGAAAAAATCTAATATTGATATTGACTTTATCAATATCAATAAATTAAAATGTAGATATTTATATTAGATACTCTATTGTTTGATTCAAACTAAGTGTAAAAATTTGACATGTTCTTTATGTTTTCTGATGATGATCTACAGAAGCTCTCCATCAAACCCAGCAGATGAATCATGCACATCACATTAACAAATTCATTGTGACAAGATTTCATAATTGTACACTACTATCAAACTTTTGTGGTCATTATTGGATGGATAAAGCCATCTTGAACCGTAGATCATGACTGGAGAAGGAGATCCCAGACGTGCCAAGCCATGCCATGTGAGTGCTGATATGAAGTGCCACTATCATTGCCAAACTATTTTGCTCACGTTAATACTAATGTTATCACATATTATTCATGTCAATATAAAAATTAATGAATTTCTAGAATACCTAAAATAGTCAATTTTATTTTTCAAAATATTGATTATTATCGAAATTCAAATCAAAGAGAATTACATAATATCCCTTATTTTATTTTTTGATAATATTTAAATTATGTACTATAGAGAAGTGGAGTATCAACTTACCCAATTTGCAAGCAAATTGGGTAACAATTTGGTAGCAAATAAGTATGTCATTCATGAAGAGTATATTTTGCAAAATACTTTAAATGTTCATAAGGGTTGAAATGAAGTGATGAGTGAAGAGAATTTCTTATGTGCAACTATTCAAGAAGAAATTATTTTTTGTATATAATACATATTATATACAGTAAATATATATATTGAGCTGTCAAAAAGTCATTAAAGATATATATGAGTGAAACTAACTCGGAGTTCACAATTCATATGCACATCTCTTACAAACATGATACGAAAAATATAGTTGATGCTCTATGACAATCCATTCTAATGCTATACAGAATGATTTATATTTAAGTGCCAAGATGATGAAAAGAAGAAATGTAGGAAGGGTAAATAATGAAAGA